CCTACAAGAAAACATATGAACTCGTTTTCAACGTGTATTATAAATCTTGGGCTTCCATGGTAAAGAATCAGCAGTAAAGAATCCGCCTGCCAATGCAGGAGATGTGGGTTCGATCCCTGGGTCAGGAAGATCCCTTGGAGAAGGAAACAGCAACCCACTCCACTATTCTTGCCTGAGAAATCCCATGGACAGAGGATCCTGGCAGGCTGCTACAGCCCATGGGGTTGCAAAAGAGCAACTAAACAAAGACAACAAAAATAATAAATCCTAGACACTCTCAGAATTAAAGACAACAAACTTCCATACGTTATTAGAGCAAATAAGGGTGCTGGGTAGCATCCAACAGCATGATTGCCAGACCAGGTGCTGATATATAAGGCACGTAACAAGTTATCTAAAGAAACCACTATCAAGACCACCAGCATCTCTCAATTTTAATTCATTTTAATTACAAAAATAAAAATACTTTACTACAAATATGACACATGTAAATACATAGTCAATATAGTGTCCCCAAGTGGTATTAAATGTTAGTCACTCAGTCGTGTCTGACCTCTTTGCGACCCCATGGACTGTAGCCTGCCAGGCTCCTCTGTCCATGGAAGCCCCAAGTGGTAAGGGAGCTCAATAATTAAAGCTGTATCTTTGTTATAACTGCAAACACTTGAAACTTCATCCCCTAGAGCTGAAAGTCTCCAAATGCTCTGACACAGAGCATCCAGTCACGGGCGAGTCCCGGTGCGCTGACACGGCTCCGCCCTGCACAAGGCCACCCAACGCCGGGAGGCATTGAGAAGGGTGGGCTTACTCAGCCGGGGGACGACAGCAACAAAGGGTGGTCACACCGAAAACACACTCAACTGGGGATCTCAAGGAGGGGGTTTTATGCCAAGTTCAGCCCTGAGACTTAAAAAAAACTTAAACCATTTAACACGACTCAACTTCAATTTCCCCACATATACAATGATTGGAGGTGATGACAAAATCTCTAATACCACTTTCAGTTATAAAATCCTTTTTATAACAATATATGATCATTTTTGAATAAATAAAACACTCACTTAGAGCAAAGAGAAAATAAAAATAAAAAGACTTAAAAACGATTCTGTTAAAAGTCTGGTTCCTATCTGCCCTGGTCGCCACCTCCATACCCTACGCTCCCAAATACAAGTCATCATTTTCATTAATTTCTTACATAATCTTACAGACTCTCTTTACAAGAATATGTGCAAACATAAATACACATCCTGGGACTTCCCTGGTGATCCAGTGGTTAAGAATCCGCCTTCTAATGCAGGTGAATGTGGGCTCAACTATGATCTCACATGCCACAGAGCAACAAGACCCATGCTATGCAACCAGAGGAAAACCTGCTCACTGCAACTAAGACCCAACACAGCAATACATAAAGAAATATTAAAATATATATCCTTACTAACCTCTTTTCTAGCAAAAAAGGCATGGCACTATAACCCATCGATCGGTCCACTCACAGAATATCCTGTAGAGCATCTCATGTCAATACGGACAGATTTTCCTCATTCTTTTCAACAACTGCAGTTTTCATTATATAAACATCTAAAATTGAGTTAACCAATCCCATACAGAGAGACACTTGGGTTTTCCCAAGTCTTTTGCTATTACACATCATGCTGCAAAAATAACCAAACTTTTATGCATATTATCAGTACATTATAAGTTTAGGAGAAATTCCCAGAAGTGGAATTGGTAAGTCAACAGCTAAATGCATCTGTAATTTTGTAAAACTTCCCAAACTACCTAGCCTACAGTTGGCACCTACCTGCATTCCTGCCAGCAAGTCTGAGAGAACCTGTCCCTCCACACTCCATCAAAACAGACCTGCTTCTTTTTTTCTCTTTGGATATCCACTTCATCTGAGAAATCCATGCCATCTCAGTATGACTTTACTGGGCATTTCTCTTCTTATGATGAGTTCACATAAAAGGGATGATTCTATTATCATGAAGTATCTACTCGTATTTATAAACCTATATAAGTTTTTGCTTTTCTTCTTACTGGATTATGCAAAAGCTCTATAAGTAAAAGCTCTACCATTTCAAGACAACGGTCCTACAGCCAAAAGACAACACCTAAAGATTACTGATGGATCACTTCTTGCTTTAAGGGTTTAAAAAATAATTATCACTGAGATTTTCTTATTGGAAGATACTCATCATCATTACTCAGTATTTTACAAATGATACATAATACCAATAGAGAAACATTCCTCCTAGAAAAGATATGCTTCAATTTCAACAGGGGAAGGAGCAGTCTGGAAGACTACATGAAGACAATTTCATTTTACCAAATATCACAAATACTTAGGTGACAGAGAAGTGATAATTATGGCTGAAGGGTAGGTATAAAAAGCTTAAGATACAAAAATATTTAATATTATAAAAAAATTTGTACCGTCATTTCACTGCACATTTAAGAGTTCAATTATATTAATATAAAACAATTTCCTTAATATCATAAAATGCAATTATCAAAATAGGCACATTTATTTTACTAGTAAAGCTCCAAGCTATGTGAATAATCTCTTTTTGGAAACATATTTAAAAATCCTCAAGACCCTGGTAAATGTTAAATCTCTACCATCCATCAATCAAGCATCCAAAATGCAGATATAAATGTTTTTCTTATGTTTTTTAACTATGTGAGGAAACACTCATTTTTAAAAATTCTTAAATGATCCTATTTTTCGAGGAACAAACTAGAAATTTTCCAAGTCCAAACAAGTAACATTTTAGACATCTATGACATTTTTCTTCAATGACAAGAGACTCATCTGCACACACACTTTGATTAGAAGTTGGGAAGAAATAAAGATGGCCAGAGGGCTTTCCAACTCTACAACTGGCCAGCTGCTGACACTTCACAGAAGGAAAAGACTTCTCTTGCCTGAACCAATAGATGGTTCATAACAGAAAACTTGGGCTTCCCAGGTGGTGCTAGTGGTAAAGAACCCGCCTGCCACTGCAGAAGACATAAGAGAGGCAGGTTCAATCCCTGAGTCAGGAAGATCCCCTGGAGGAGGGCATGGCAACCCACTCCTGTATTCTTGCCTAGAAAATCCCCATGGAGAGAGGAACCTGGTGGGCTACAGTCCATAGGATAGCACAGAGTCAGACACAACTGAAGCAACTTAGCAACTGAAGCAACTAGCATACACGCACAAAACATAGAATTTGTACTGTCACGTAAAGAATTATAAAAACACTGGGATTTGTATCTCGTCTTTGATTCTATACAGCAGAGGTCCCCAGCCTTTTTGGCCCCAGGGACTGGTTTCACAGAAGACAATTTTTTCATGAACCAGGAGTTGGGGGAATGGTTTCTGGATGATTCAAGTGAATTACATTTATTGTGCATTTGATTTCTATTATCATTACATCAGCTCCACCTCAGATCATCAAGCATCAGATCCTGGCGGTCAGGGACCCCTACTATAGAATGTCTGTGGAGGACCAGGGGTGCCCCCACTTACCAGTCTTGCAAACTGAAGCACACTGATTTGTAGAGTCACCCACAGGCACCCAAATGGGCACAAAAACGGAGGCCACGTGATCCTAATATTCACCACCCATAACTGAGCAAAGAATCTGGAGCCTGACCGCGTGTCCTGTTACTAAGCATGGGGTTCCTGGGCAGGTTACATAAACTCCTGGAACTAAGTTTCCCTGTAGGGAAATCCTCATTTTGAGGACTCAGTGAATTTGGCACTGGAAACAGGGAAAGCAGTGTTTAGGAGAAACATTATAACCAGGCTGAATTCCATTACTGCAGAACTTTAATGAGAAGAAGCAAGGGCTGAAATGGAAATAATTCAAAAGCATCTCTTCCGTGGGGCAGACACTGGAGGATGAGTTAGGATAAAAGCCCAGCAGAGTATAGTCATTCCACAAAAAGTGAGCTGGGACACAACTGATGCACACAGAACCCAATCTCTGGAGATCTGAAGAGATGAGCACAAAAGCCCTGTTTTATTTGAGATTATCTGTCAAAATCTCCCTGGAACTTTAGTTTTCTATTCTTTTTTTTTTCTCTTCCTTCATTCCCTTTCTTTTCCTATCCATCTTCTCACCTTTCATCTCTCTGCATCTTCCCTGGATAAACCTTAGAACTACAAGGACAAGAAATCACATCGTAAAGTACAGCACAGTACTCACCGATACAATGGTTTATGGATCTCAATTTAAGAGGACTTGAATGCAACCTGGTTCCCAACTTAATTACTGTCATGTCTTATGGAAACAAAGCACTGAAAATCTGAGAGCAACTGGGCTCAGGGGAAAAGTCAACTTATTGGAAATACAGTTTTAAAGAAACGTCTCGTTAGCAGGTTGCTGCCTTTTTAAAGCCACAGCTCAGACACGTTCAAGTTTTTAATCCCAATCACTTGGCAATTCTGTACCCTCTGTCAACACATAGCAGAAACACAGCTTCCAATCAAACAATAAGAGAAGGGTAGCAATGTTTCACAGAGGAGCCCAGGGTCACGTGCCTCCCCAGGGAATGGAGCTGTGTGTGTGTGTGTGTGTGTGTGTGTGTGTGTGTGTGCGCGCGCGCGCGCACGTGCATGTGTGCAAGCTAAGTCACTTCAGCCAGGTCCAACTCTGTGTGACCCCATAGATTGTAGCCCGCTAGGCTCCTCTGTCCATGTGATTCTCCAGGCAAGAATACTGGAGTGGGTTGCCATGTACTCCTCCAGGGCATCTTCCCGACCCAGGTATCAAACCTGCATCTCTTCTGTGTCTTGCACTGACAGGTGGCTTCTTTACCAGTAGCACCACCTGGGAAGCCCCAAGGAGCTGCAACAGACCCTATGGCAAGCTAACCAAGGAACACACTGTTTTCCCACTGCATCCAAAATGTTTATGGCATAAACGTCTTCATATCGACAAAGGCATCACTTGGCTGACAATACAAGTCCTCCTGAACCACCCAAACGCTGTCAACTTTCACAAAACACAAACCTTTGGGAGGGGTGAGATTGACTCCATTTTTAAGGCACCACTGTACTGGTAAAATCCCCAAAGAGTCCGCATGGCATAACATCGAGAGTTTACTAGGCTCTGGTCTGAGGTCATCAATAGTCACTTGAAAAAAATGATTGTTATAAACCTGAAAGAAAAGACAACAGCGCCCAGGGTTAATTCCTTGAGATGAACAAATCATGCTCCAGAGGAAGACTGGCACAGCTTTCAAATGAAGTAAATATATTTCACCCAAATGGTCGCAGCAATAACTGCCAATAACTTTCAGCAATAACTTTCAATATATATTCTTAAAGTGGTCCAGTCATGAAAAAGTTTAAGCTGATCATTTTGGTCATACTAATGGAACTAAAATGCATGTTGGCTAGAATCTAAGTGTATTGGATTCTGCCACCATTTCTAAAATGATATTAATAGTGGATGTGCTCAGTCCCTAAGGCAAGTTTGACTCTTTCGTGACATCATGGACTGCAGCCCACCAGGCTCCTCTGTCCATGGAATTTCTCGGGCAAGAACACTGGAGTGGGTTGACATCTCTTCCTCCAAGAAATAGTGTGTGTGTGTGTGTATGTATGTATATATATGTGTGTGTGTGTGTGTGTGTATTTAAAGTAGAAACACATACTTTAGATGTTAGAATAGGTGAGTTCACTGAGACTTCTTTGATGGGGAAGGGAAATTATAATCTTAAAAGACTATCAGTTCATTAATAAAAATGTCTTTACATGAAATGGTACTTCCATTTTAAATCTGCAAATTGTAGATGTATGACTTTTCCTTTAATCAGTGAAAGCAGATAAGAGAAAGGAAGTGAAGTGTTCTCCGCCCCCTCACTCCGGAAACAGGACTTTGCTTATCACCATTTTCAAGTATTTCAAAGTAGATCACATGGGCTATAGTCAGTGTAGCAGGAGGAGCCCAATTATTAGCATAAAGACTATGTATGCAAACTTATCAGCAGTTCTTTTCATGAGCACAGACAAATGGCAGGCTCAGTGTCATGTGGTTAATAGGAGAAGGTGGCACGTGTTCAGTGGCTGAGTTCACTGCTACAAAATCAGTTTCGCGTCGGCATCTTCCTCCGAGTCACTATAGACACAAGCATCTGCATTCTGTACTATCAGAGGACAAGTGATGTTCACCCACCCATTACAAGAGGAAGCACCTGATCAAACTCGCTCCATGATGTAACTGACCAAAAAGGGAGTTTAAGACAGGGCTGGGCTGCAAAGGAAGCTCTCTTTCCTGGGTTTACTTGGCATCGAGGCTATTTCCTCGGGTTGGCTTGGAATATAAAAACTTACGATGTGATCCACTTCAGAGGTGGAGGTCAGGAGCAAGGGAGGGATGCTCACCTTGGTCACGGATGCAGGGCAAATGTGACTCATGTTCACGGTCTCTAGCTTCATCCCAACTGTGAAGAAATGGCTTCTCAAATCTGCATGGTCCTGCAGGAAAAAGACTGAAGCTGTGAAAAAGCACTTGTATTGTAAATTAACTTGGTAACTGTCCAGATGCTTTCTTTGAATGTTTCAGTGGGCGACCAATGACAGACTGAAATAATTAACCCTCTCCAGTTTTGGATTTCTAATTATGGCAAGATGTCATGTATTTACGACTTCCCTGGTGGCTCAGATGGTAAAGAATCCGCCTGCAATGTGTGAGACCTGGGTTCGATCCCTGAGTTGGGAAGATCCCCTGGAGAACGGAGTGGCAACCCACTCCAGTATTCTTGCCTGGAGAATTCCATGGACAGAGGAGCCTGGCAGGCTACAGTCCATGGGGTTGCAAAGAGTCAGATACGACTGAGCAACTTTGGCTTCACTTCATCATGTATTTAATTATTTTCTGCAGGCTTAATTGCTTCTCCAAAGGAGAAACAAGCCTCGGTGGCCATGCTGAAATTTGTACTACACAATTAAAAAAAAAAAAAAAACACCACAAGGCTTTGATTTTCCTATCACGGACAGACGTGCAGCACAGTAATGGAAGCAACCAGTCATCTAAAACACAGCAGGGGCATCCTCGGAAAAGGTGGCCTCTTGCTATTGGAGTTACTTTGCAGGCTTCAGGGAGGACCTGGTGGAGGGATACAGCCTGTCTTCTCTGTCGAACAGCATTCAGGGTATCAGTAATGGGTACTGATACTGGTCCTCAGACATGTGGAGACAACACACCCCGAAAGAGCCCAGCACCCAATCAGAAACTGCCTCCTGCTCTATAAAGATGAGCTACATCCCCCACTTAATAGGTGCCTGGCAGTTTTATAGACAATTCACCAAAGCCTTGTGTGTGTGAGCAGAGCCTTCCTGCCTTCTCAAGAAAACACATTTCAGTAACTACTTCAGCAACAGATGAGGCTGGTGGGACTCTGGCCACTAGGATTTATCTTGCTGAGATGGAGGTCACCTCGTAACTCACGGTCTTTATAAACAGCAGTGGATAAATAAATGTCTTTGCAGACTGTCCCTGAGGAAATAAGAGCTGCAAGTAAATCCTGCTGTTTCTAAATACATCAATTGGGTGTGAGAAGTACAAACGCAGCTGGGGATCTATGACTTCCTTTGATCTGCCAATGTAAAGTGGATTTTAAAAAAATTTTATTGAAGTAAAGTTGATTTACAATGTTGTGTTAGTCCCAGGTATACAGTAAAGAGATTCAGCTATACATACAAATATATGTGTATTCTTTTTCAGAATCTTCTCCATTACAGATTATTACAAGAAACTGAATATTGTTCCTGGTGCTATATAGTAGGTCTTTGTTATCTACCTAGTTTATATACAGTAGTGTGTATATTTTAATCCCAAATGTCTAATTTGTCCCAGGCTCTCTGTGTGACCTTGACCACTGACCCGAAGTCTTCAGCCAAGTTTACATCCATCCCTGTCTCAGCTCCAATGCTGCAGTGGAAACTTTTTAATGCACAGGAACCCTACACTAACAACTGTCCCTGACCTGCTCCAATACTTTGGCCACTTGATATGAAGACCTGACTCTTTGGCAAAGACCCTGATGCTGGAAAAGATTCAGGGCAGGAGGAGAAAGGGGTAGCAGAGGATGAGATGGTTAGATAGCATTACGGACTCAACAGACATTAATTCAAGCAAACTCTGGGAGACAGTGAGAACAGGGAAGGCCGGCATGCTGCAGTCCATGAGATCGCAAAGAGTCGGACATGACTTAGCAACTTAACTACCACACAACCTGCTGCCCTATTTTATTCATGGGTGTCTAGGGGGACCTGTGGCTCCTTAGAGATAAAGCATTAAGTCTTGGACAGAAATGTAGTCCATAGATAATCTTCTCTTTTCAAGACTGTGCACTCTATAATAAATCCTTATTGCTAATGATTTCAGTGCATCCTGAATCAAACTGTGCATCTCGGTAAAGAGGGGATCGATCACTCTCTGTACATATCACACACTCTTCTCTCTACAGTCCCTGGGCGCCTCTGTGAACCTCTGAACATCTTTTTCTTTGTTCATACTTAAAGATATATCACCCACATCAAAACCACACATAGTCACATGTGGGGTGAAAAGAAAATATTAATGACATGAATATTTTTAAACAATTAAAATACTGTTAGCAACGCTTTGTCTAGATGACATTAAAATATTTTAAAATAAAGCTTAGTGAACAAAGGTTGAGAAACAAGTTTTCCTTTGTGAATCACAGCTTAGCTTTCCTACAATTAAATTTTTTCTATTAGGATTCAGTTGCAAGCACACAAATTTCTTACTCGTGGAAACCCATCTGTTTTTGTTCCAACCTATGTGAAAACTCTTTAAGTTTTCTTGCTTAAAATACTGCCAAAAAAAGAAAAAGAAACTGAATGTTTTGGAGGGTTAAATGCATCCATAAGTAGGTCATTTATATTCCAGACTCAAACAACCATGTCTATTGGTCACAGGAAACACCCACTTCCAGCAATACAAGAGAAGACTCTACACATGGACATCACCAGATGGTCACTACCGAAATCAGATTGATTATATTCTTTGCAGCCAAAGACGAAGAAGCTCTACAAAGTCAGCAAAAATAAGACCCAGAGCTGACTGTGGCTCAGATATGAGTTCCTTAATGTCAAATTCAGACTTAAATTGAAGAAAGTAGGGAAAACTACTAAACTACTTAGGCATGACCTAAATCAAATCTCTTATGATTATACAGGTAGAAGTGAGAAATAGATTCAAGAGATTAGATTTGATATAGTGCCTGAAGAACTATGGACAGAAGTTCATGACACTGTACAGGAGAAAGGGATCAAGACCAACCCCAAGGAAAAATGCAAAAAAGGAAAAAATGGCTGTCTGAGGGGGACTTACAAAGAGCTGAGGAAAGAAGAGAAGCAAAAAGCAAAGGAGAAAAGGAAAGATATTTCCATTTGAATGCAGAGTTCCAAAGAATAGCAAGGAGAGATAAGAAAGCCTTCCTCAGTAACCAGTGCAGAGAAATAGAGGAAAACAATAGAATGGGAAAGACTAGAGATCTCTTCAAGAAAATTAGAGACACCAAGGGACCATGTCATGCAATGATGGGCACAATAAAGGACAAAAGTGGTATGAACCTAACAGAAGCTGATGATATTGAGAAGAGATGACAAGAATACACAGAAGAATTATATAAAAAAGATCTTCATGACCCAGATAATCATGATGGTGTGATCACTCACCTAGAGTCAGACATCCTGGAATGCAAAGTCAAGTGGGCCTTAGGGTGCATCACTATGAACAAAGCTAGTGGAGGTGAGGGAATTCCAATTGAGCTACTTCAAATCGTAAAAGATGATGCTGCTAAAGTGCTGCACTCAATATGCCAGCAAATTTGGAAAAAGCAGTGGCTATAGGACCGGAAAAGGTCAGTTTTCATTCCAATTCCAAAGAAAGGCAATGCCAAAGAATGCTCAAACTTCCACACAATTGCACTCATCTCACACGCTAGCTAAGTAATGTTCAAAATTCTCCAAGTCAGGCTTCAACAGTACATGAACCGTGAATTTCCGGATGTTCAAGCTGGATTTAGAAGAGGCTAAGGAACCAGAGATCAAATTGCCAACATCTGTTGGATCATTGAAAAAGCAAGAGAGTTCCAGAAAAACATCTACTTTTGCTTTATTGACTATGCCTAAGTATTTGACTGTGTGGATCACAATAAACCGTGGAAAATTCTGAACGAGATGGGAATATCAGACCACCTGACCTGCCTCTTGAAAAATCTGTTTCCAGGTCAGGAAGAAACAGAACTGGACATGGAACAACAGACTGGTTCCAAATTGGGAAAGTCCATTTAGCATGGACTGGTTGGATCTCCTTGCAGTCCAAGGGACTCTCCAGAGTTTTCTCCAGCATCATAGTTCAAAAGCATCAGTTCTTTGACTCTCAGTTTTCTTTATGGTCCAACTTTCACATCCATACATGACTCCTGGAGAAACCATAGCTTTGACTAAATGAACCTTTGTTGGCAAAGTAATGTCTCTGCTTTTTATTATGTGGTCTAGGTTGGTCACAACCTCCCTTCCAAGGAGTAAGTGTCTTTTAATTTCATGGTTGAAATCACCATCTGCAGTAATTTTGGAGCCTCCCAAAAATAAAGTCAGCCACTGTTTCCCCATCTATTTGCCATGAAGTGATGGGACCTGATACTATGATCTTCAGTTTTCTGAATGCTGAGTTTTAAGCCAACTTTTTCACTCTCCTCTTTCACTTTCATCAAGAGGACCTTTAGTTATTTTTCACTTTCTGCAGTAAGTGTGGTGTCATCTGCATAGCTGAGGTTATTGATATTTCTCCTGGCAATCCTGATTCCAGCTTGTGCTTCCTCCAACCCAGCATTTCTCATGATATACTCTGCATATAAGTTAAATAAGCAGGGTGACAGTATACAGCCTTGATGTACTCCTTTCCCAACTTGGAACCAGTCTGTTATTCCAAGTCTAGTACTAACTGTTGCTTCCTGACCTAGAAACAGATTTCTCAGGAGGCAGGGTAAGGTGGTCGTGGTCTGGTATTCCCATCTCTTTCAGAATTTTCCACAGTTTACTGTGATCCACACAGTCAAAGGCTTTGGCATAGTCAATAAAACAGAAGTAAATGTTTTTCTGGAACTCTCTTGCTTTTTTGATGATTCAACAGATGTTGGCAATTGATCCCTGGTTCTTCTGCCCTTTCTAAATCCAGCTTGAAAACCTGGAAGTTCACAGTTCATGTACTGTTGAAGCTCAGCTTGGAGAATTTTGAGCATTACTTTGCTAGTGTGTGAGATGAGTGCAACTGTGTGGTAGTTTGAGCATTCTCTGGCATTTTCTTTCTTTGGGATTGGAATGAAAACTGACCTTTTCCAGTCCCGTGGCCAATGCTGAGTTTTCCAAATTTGCTGGCATATTGAGTGCAACACTTTCACAGCATTATTTTTTAGGTTTTGAAATAGCTCAACTAGAA